CAAGGTACCTTTATTTAACAACATACTCCACAGTTTCATTTTCAGTCTTTAATCATCATCATCATTATCATCATCTCAGAACTTCAGAGTTGGAAGGGACCCTATGGATAATTGAGTCCAACCCTTGTCAATGAGGCATAGTGGGGAATCAAACTCCTAACCTCTGGTTCTGCAGCCAAAGGATTAAACCTCTGAGCTATCCAGCAGTTCATTATTGGGCTGGGGCTTTCTTACCAATTACCATTGAAAGCACTATATTCCAAAAGCAAAAAAGCTTGGAGTTACTTGGTTTTTAAAAAGGTCCCTTACAGATACAAAGTTTGGACCTTGCCTGGTGATTGCTCCTATGTTCCTTAACGAATACTGAAATGGAGGCAGACGAATGTTGTACTCACCTGTCTCCTGTTCCAACGTTCCACACGGCATTTCAACCCAAAGGATCATGATGCTCACAAGGAGCAAGCTGCCAAATGTCTTCATGGTGCCTTTGGTGTGGTGAGATGGAGATGGGGCAAAAAGCTGCTGAATTTCATTTAAATAAGTTAGGAAAACAGGGGAAAAGTCAACTGTCATGTTTGTGAAAGATGCTTCCCTCAAGACAGAAATCAAGAACCTGTATTACTTCATTCTGCCCTGCCAAGATACATAAATGTCCACTTCCTCATTCATCTTTTGCAATCCCACCCTTTTAGAAATATAGTAATACTGTGAATTCCTAACTGTTTTCCAAGTGGTTGTTGTATATTTTTCGGGCTGTCTGGCCGTGTTCTTGAGGTTTTTCTTCCTAACCTTTTGCCAGTCTCTGTTGCTGGCATCTTCAGAGGACAGGAGTCCGAACTCTGGTGCAGTTTGTGGGATAGTTAAGTATTTATAGCTGTGGGATCAGCTTTTTGTCCTGTTCTGGAGATTGAGTGATTATGGTGATCAGCAAGTTTTTTTTTGTGGGTGTATTGTTGTGATAAGGGGGAGAGATTATCTGTCACTGTGATTGATGGGTGTCATTAGCTGGTCTTTTGTGTGCAGTGATCACTGGTCCTTGTGGCTGAGTAGAGTTCGTTGACCTTTTGCAGGCTGTGTTTTTCAGTGCTGGGACCCAGGCTTTGTTTTCCAAGTCTTAAGCTATGGATTTCAGTTACTGTAGGTTCTTCTAAGTTATTCTTTAGCAGCACTACTCAGGCTTAATTCAAAGAAACCTCTGGTAACTAAATGGTGAGGTTATTTAGGCTGGCTATTTCTTCATACTGTCACTGGCTCTGAAGGTCCTTTGAAAGAGGAGTGATTTAGACAAAATGTAAATAACACATCCAAACTAGCTATGAAGATTCTTGGTTATCCAGTTGAGGTTATCTGGAAATGGAGTCATGGCAACTGGTCTTCTTTCTTGACTGATTGAAACATTTTGCTACTCATCCGTGTAGCTTGTTCAGTCTGATTGAAAAAGCTATTTGGATGAGTAATCAAACATTTCAACCTATCAATAAAGAAGTCCAGTTGTCATGACTCAACTTCCACGCTTCCAAATTACGTTCTGCCTGAGCCTAGCAGCAACATCTGCAAACAATAAAACTCCTAGCATCTAGACTTACATGTGATGAACATCATTACACTATGAAAATTAATCAGTAGATGGACTGAGGTTTTCTGAAATTGGTTTAAAGTCACATTATTGTCACATGGTGCTTAGATCAATGTGTGCATCCTCTTGTCAAAACTTTTAATTCATTTTTAAGCTGCATTGTGTATCAGTTCAGGGGTATGTCATCTTTTAAGAACATTGCAGTTGAGGCTGTGTCCTACATTTGCCTGCTCTTCTGCTGGCCATTCGCCCTTGTAGCTGTGGTGAGAGAGAGGGAGAGGGAGGGCCTGCTGGTAAAGCTGCTTTGCAATGGTTTGAAAATACTAATCCAAGGCACGGATCATCATGAAGCCACATTATTTGGCTTCATGAGGATCCATCATGGGTTTGCAGTGGGGCAAAAGTTTATGTAGGATCATCCCTGAGCCACAGCCCAATATGTGGGCAGAGATGGTTTCTGTGATTGGATAGTGGTTTGGGAATGAACTTACATGAAAATCATGTGGATTCATGAGGATCCATGTCTTAGATTAATAATTTTTGCCCCACTGTAAAGACAGCTCTTCACTCCTTGCTTAGACTATGCATCTCACCCACCTCCTGCCTCCAACCCTGCAGTTCGGGCTTTCTCATTTGCCTCCCTCATGCTTTGCTAAATCGCGTATGCCAAAACAACAGATTTCACAAGCAACTTAAATTAAACAACCCTCTTGCCTCCCAGTAAAATATCTCTGTTTCCAATGAAAAAGACACTTCCTGGGGGGAGAAAACTGATGCATGTCACAGAGGTTTGGGTTTGCCGCCACCCCCATGTAGTTCATAATCCGTGTATAACTCTTATGTTCCCCAAAAACATAACTACAAAGCAAAAACAGTTGGTTGACACACAGATAGAGGAAGACCTCCCCTGACTTGCATCAGCTTCCCAGCATGCCCCAGTACCTTTCCTGGCCACCATGTGGAGTCTTCATGATAGGAGGGGAGGCTGGCTGGGCCACTGCCATCAGACCAGGGCCTACTGCACCACCAACAATAGGGGCCTTGGCAGGTCCATGACCCAGCTTTGTCAGGCCACTTTCTGGAGAGGAATAGCAGCATAGTATTTACCGAATATATTTTAAATTAAATATTCTTTCATTGAAAAAAATCTGTGTAAAACCAAAACTGGGCTGCTCAGATCTGTATTATTCACTGAAAAATTGTAATATGTACACTTTTCGTGGTGCAGTGGTTAAACCGCTGTACCAGAGCCAAAATTGTGCTCACGGCCTGGGGTTCAATCCCAGGTAGCTGGCTCAAGGTTGACTCAGCCTTCTATCCTTCCGAGGTCGGTAAAATGAGTTTGCTGGGGGGGGGGCAATGTGTAGCCTGCATAATTAACTTGTAAACCGCCCAGAGAGTGCTTGAAGTGCTATGGGATGGGATATAAGCAGCACGCTTTTTGCTTTTGCAGAGGGTTTCAGTTCAACTCCCTACCAATCCAGAAATCTATGGTTAATTCATCTCTGACAAATGACCATCTAATGAATGAGAGCCCACCCCTTTCCAAGGCAGTCTGGTCCACTTGCTGAACTCTTTTTTTACTGTCAAGAAATTCTTCCTGACATTTAGTCAAAATATCTTCTCTTGTAATTTGTCTTCATGAGTTCAGGTCTTGGCTTCTGGAACTGCAGAAAACAAGTTTCTCCCTTTTTGTACATGATAGCCTTTCAGATATTTTAAGACATCTCTCAGATGAACTTCCAATCTTTTTTTCCCTTCAGGCTATACATACATCCCATCCCATCAACTGTTCTTTCTGTGCATTACCTTCCAGACTCTTTACCATTTTTGTTAACCTTTATTTGGACTTATGTTGACTTACATTGGGCTGTTGGTTTGCTAGGACTCCTAGAACCAACAGCAACACCATAACTGTCTGCCATGGGACAATATGTAGTTTTAAAAATAGAATATGTCACTCATAATAATGAGCTATGATACTACCCCTGCTGAAATCACATACCAATGTTGCCTATGTACTAGGCATCAGTATTGAAGATTGTCCTTCCATGGAATGCTGCAAAGGGTTTAAATGTTTTAAATTATAGCTGTCTACTGATGAAATGGATGAGATGGTTGGACAATGTCATCAAAGCAACCAACATGAATTTGACACAACTCCGGGAGGCATTGGAAGATAGGAGGGCCTGGCGTGCTCTGGTCCATGGAGTCACAAAGAGTCGGACACGACTAAACGGCTAAATGACAACGACTGATGAAAAGAGTGAGAAGCAGCCAAATAATTTCCTGGCAGTTGGACCCTATGTAATGGCACTTCTCACTGGGTCATTCTTATCCCTGTATGCTCACCATGAAGCCCTGATTTGAATGATACTCCCAGTTTATAGAGGAAAGGGGCACAGCATGCTTTAGGGGATATATGAAGTGGCAGGTTATGGATTTGTAATGTGTGCGATCATAGCCTAGATCAGGCATAAAATAATATTTTATGATTTGTACTTGACTTGCTCCTTCCCCAGTGGCATGATAGGTAAATAATAAAATGCTGCTGCTGCTGTTGATGATGATTGTCTTATATTTCATAATAACATGCCTCTCCCCTACCACCTCTTTTAGTGCAGTGGTCCCCAACCTTGATTCCCTAGATGCTCTTGGATTACAACTGCCGGAAATCCTAGGCAGTACAGCTCGTGATGAAGACCTCTGGGAATTTTCGTCTGGGGACCCAAGGTTGGGAACCACTGCTTTAAGGGACTGAACTGATAGTTGGTCTTTGCATGAGAAACAACAACTGAAGCAGTTTTTATGGGAATCGCCTACAGACAGACAGAAAGCGAGCAAAAGAGCAAGTGAGCAGGCAAGATGTGAGATAAGTTTGGAAGCATCTTAGGGTTCAGTGTGTCCGTCAGGAAATACTATAATATATGGTAGTTGATCTGCTGCCTTCTAGGAAAGCTCATGTTGCTTACCCATACCTACACTCCCCTTTTTCACTATGTGGTAAACAAGCGAAACATTATGAACAACAAAAATACCATAAGCTTTGAGTTATTTTTTCTTTCTTTCATAGAGAAACCAACTCCCTCTAACTGCACTAGTGAGGGAAGTGGAAAGGACACAACTGTTATCTGTGGCAAGATAGAAAGCACATCCCCTTCCCCACCCTATAAAATGGAAACATCTTGGTAAATCAAGAGAATGCTATTCCAGGAAAAGAAAGGAAACATGAATGAGAAAGCATGAGGACAACACACATATTGTGCAATCCATATGAAAGTATAGATTTCTTTTGTACTAAAGCATCTGAACTTCGTGTACCAATGAATTGTATTTATTTTTGTATTTATCTTTGCTAGGCAACTGGAATCGTTATTCTTGCTATCTTGGCCTCCAAATATTAAAAAGAAAAAGAAAACAGCAATGACAAGGGTTGCATTTATTGGAAAAGCCAGCTTTTGGTACACATTGTCCTTTAACAGGAAGAATTATGAAAAGAAAATAAATTCCCAATTACCAAGAGAGCAAAGAGATTAGCCAATATAGGTTTCAGCAGAATTTCAACATTTGAGCATTGTGTTATTTTATAATACAATACACCAAATAATGAGAATAATGGGTGTGCTTGGGCAATGGCAGAATTCAGTAATTTAATGCTAACAGTACATGGCCCATGTTCTCATTCCCAGCCACCCCACCCCCATCCACTGCTTCCTTAGGATGTCATCTTCATGTTATCTAGCAATTCTGTTCTGTGCATGATGCTCTTTCCTTGCAGCTCCTGGAGAAAAACCACGTGGAAATACCTGGAAAATAAATTACATGTTTTGCATGTGTATGTGCTTGAGTAATTTTGATTTGTAAAACCAGCCTATATTTTTCCATTCTTCTGCTTTCACAAGATTACTTCCCTCTTTTATAATGGTCACTGAAATGCTGGGTCTTCTGTTTTCACTTTGTAGGGCTTTACCCTAGTCCTGAATAAATGTGGGGTTTGAAGAACTCCTGCCCGTTTTTTAAAAAAATAGACCCATTGTGCACAGATGATAGATGATATACCAGATATCATATCTAAATCAACAATGTTGGTGAACTCAAGACATTTCCATGCCTCAGGAGAAGGATAGGATGGCACACCTCTCCTATTTGAACTGGCCGTTGATGCTGTGGCATCTTCTATGACAATTTAAGTAGCTGATTACTTTAAGGCAATCAGGACAGGCCACATGGCATATATACTGCTGTCCCTCTGATGATGAGGAACACCAGGAAACCTCAGGAGGGAAAGCCCAGGGTGTCTTGCTATTGTTTCCCAGCATATGCCTCCTTAGGTGGTTCCTTCACTCTGCCTAAGGGTAGTGCTGCTCCTGCATTCTTGTATTTAACCGTTCATCCAGTGGAGACAGGATACTAGGACTTCCACTATGTGACTAGAAAGAGTAACAGAATGGCATGCAAACAAGTGAATAGGATAGTGGAGGAGAGGCAGAGGTTCCTATTGCTCTTCTGCCAGCCCTACTGGTTACTATCTTGGTATAAAAGCCTGTTCTCAGCTCTCTTCTCCTTCAGTCAACTTGTTTAACTGATATTTAAAAGTTCCCCATAAAGAGGATAGTATTAATATTTCCACACTAGCTGCAGACTATGGGGTCTCCCTTCCTCCACAGTTAGTGTGAAAACACTTGTCTGATAGCCTCATGGCAAGCTAAAACAAATTTTTCTGGATGGTAACATTTACAAGGCTATGAGCATTTTGCTAGCACAGATGGGATAAAAATAGTAGCATTCCTGTAAAAGGGACATGCCTTGATGTAGAATTAATTCTACATGTCATGGGGATCTCGAGCTAATTCAGAAGCAGAAGTGGGTACTGCCCTGTCTCTCCCATGAACGGGTAAGTCTGGGGCAGCAAGGAAAGAAACCGAAGAGAGATGCAAGCAATACCATTACTATTGAGTGGTGCCTCTTTATGGGACTATGCAAGATTTCCCACATATTTTGTAACAGCATTTTTGGTTTTCCGGACAATCGTAGTCATGGTTGCAATCATCACGTCCAGGGACTGAGCAAATAAATGGAAATTTGGGGCACTTGACAGGTTTATCTGTAACAAAAGAAAAAAACAGAAACTAATGATTGTACATTATGGGCAAAGACAGTCAGAGAGTATCCTGCTGATTATGCCTGGGATCCATATTTCTTTTGTTGATGAATATTTCGTATTTCATACATTGACATAAGTGATTTTGTATTTCCACTAGCCATAAGATTCGCTTGGTGCCTTCCCCTTCCTGACTAACCTAGTTCACATGAAGTGACATTCAAATAGTTTAGCTCTTTGTATGGTGCCTTGAGCTCCTGGGGGAAAAGGTGGGCGGCAAATATGTGTAAAATGCTTTTTGTGCCCCTGGCAATGCCCCAGTTGCCACATTCAATGATATACTGGAAAACAGAACTCGAATCTCTCATTTTGCTTGATTATTTTAAATGTACCCCCAGGGCACTAAAAACATTACAGGACAAAGTATTAAATACAGTCAGATACATATTGCTCACATGGAGCAATATTTCTTACAATAGAATTAATACCATCATTTTTGTCTAGATAGGTACACAAAAATGCACTGTTTTGAGAGGAAGTGCCCATTTCTCCTTCATTTTCCAGTAAGAACCTTGGTCCCGGCCACTTTGGCTACCTTTATCAATCTCCTTCATGCCCCATTTCCATCCACTGCCACTTTTGTGTTGGGTTGTTGCTTTTCAGTTTCTGTTCCACTTTTGCTATCCTTCTTCAGTAGGTTTCTCCACATGGCTCCAAGCAAGGAGAGGGCATTAAGAAGCAACCTTTGCTTCGTATTTGGACAAAGTGAGGAAAAATGGTTTCGGAAAATGAGGTAGGAATTTGGCCATAATCTGTATAATTGGGTAGCGCAGGGAATGATGCATGATAACTGAAGTGTACTTGCCATAGAATTTTGAATGGAACTTGAAGGATTTGCTGGGAAACATAGTCCTATAGCAATTGTGAGACCATGTAAAAACCAAATATATACGATGAGGCTATACCAGAACACAAATGACACAACAAGACAGATTAATGTACACATACTGTATATATATTGTACGGAACAACAGTCAATATAATCAAGTATCTGACAGCACCATAGCAGTGTGGGGCTGTCACCCAGCTGAACATGTTGCAAGGTTCACCTGTACTTTAAAGATCATTTTTACAGAGTAGCATTATACCTCTTTCTTTTTTTAAAGGTATTTGAAGGGATCAGCACACAGACTCTGGCTTGATTCATTTAATGTATGGCATACGGTATATGTGATCACATGCCTGCTACCATGTCCACCCTCAGCAGCCGTGCAGGGGTTGGATACCATTACAGAGCTGTTTGATACTCTGTACATATCTTCACAAAAGGCAACAAACTGCATGCAAGGTTCTCATCAAATCATGGGCAAAACCACAACTGGAATGATACAGCAGGAAGCAACAGTTTCAAAGCACGGCACAGCAGAGTTAGAAATGAAAGCATTCCTCTGTCACCATCCAGCCACAAAGCAGGAAATAGTCTGGTTGCATGTAGGAGAGGATAGCATTAAAGATGATGGAAGGAAAGGAGGGGAAAGGTGCAAGAGGGCAAAGGCATGGAAAATGCAAGTTGGTTGGGACAATTGGTGGCACAGTTGGGATTGTTTTTTGCAATTCATAGCATTTCAAGCAGAGAAACATGAGGGGAGAGAAACTTAACAAAGACTGCAACTACGCTAGCAATTTTGCTATAATCTGAGACTGAATTATGGCTGAATTCAAAGTCAATGATCAGACAGGGCCTGCAGATTGCTTTGAGAGTTTGGTGTTCACATTCAATTTGATACAATTCAAATTTCAACCCACAGCCCCCTTCTTTCCTTCCTTCCTCTGGTCCTGAGGTTAATGCACTAATCTAATATACATTTTAAAAATCAGGGGAAAAGAATGCAGGGGTGGGTGTTCCTGTGGTCCTGAAACTAGACTGCAACTGCCTACATAACGGAAACACCACCCACAGACATGCCCCACCCCATCTTTACAAGAATGAATCAACTGACCACACAGGCAGAAGTCCATTTTAGAGATGGGAGTATTCATATTCTTATATGAATATCCCCGTACAGGTGGAAATAATGATTTTGCTGCTGCTGCGGCTCCGCAGAGGCTTCCTATCGCACTGTTCTGCGTAATGGATTAGCCACCATGTGACCTAGCAGAGAGGCTTGTCATCCTGCCTCCTGCCAGGAGTGGGTAATCGATTGTGAACAACGGCACAATAGGAAGGCTCCACGGAGCCGGTGGCAGTGGTGTTATTTCCACCTGTGCAGGGATATTCGTATTCATATACAAATACTCCCATCTCTAGGCCATTTGCATCATTCCAAGGGCACTAAAAACATTACAGGACAAAGTATTAAATACAGTCAGATACATATTGCTCACATGAAGGAAATATATTTTTGTCACAGAGCTCTTCCAGACGTATTTAGTGTCATACTCCATGAGCTGATTCTTGTACTGTTTCTTCTCCTGTTTTCTATGAGAGTTATTTCTTACAATAGAATTAATTCCATCATTTTTGTCTAGATCTCTAGGCCATTTGCATCATTCCGGCTTTAAAACAGTAGAAGTCCCCAGTGGGAGAGAAAAAAAGGTACATTGGAAGCAAAAAGGGCCAGACTGATTTGAATCGGCCTTTTAGTCATGTGATCAATAAAAAAATAATTTGAATTCATCCACTTTATAAACAGAGCAAATCTCACAGTATTTGACCATGTAGTTCCAGTCAGAGACAGGAATGCCTGGGTGAGGAAACATAAGATGACTCACAACAGGGCACAAAATAAGGTCATGTCTGGAAGAGTCTAAAAGACCATACCTTGTGGGTTTCGGCAAATCTTGTCACATTTAAAGTAACAACACTTCTGGATTCCGGGGCAGTCATAGTCAAAATTGCAAGCATTATGTCCTGGTGCAAAGCATCGATATGGATTGGGAGGGCATGTCCCCATTTTGTCTGGAAGGGTAAAGAAAAGCAGGCAAATCATCAAATACCACATCTTGCAGCATTACTATAAAGTTGAAGAGTGGCGAAATTAAACACACCACAATTCCTCAACTGTCCCGATCCCATATATAGAAACAGCGCGATCACATATATAAGAGACATCAGCAAGTTTGGGAGAAAGCCAGAGGTTTCCACAACTACAAAACAACTTGAATAAAAGAAAAACATGGAAGGGGAGAATCCTGAAAACAGTCCCGTAAAGACTGAGCCTCTTGAGTGGGCACCAAATACTAATGAGCTTTTATGGAGGGAACATAGCAAGGGAGGGGGGAATGGAGTAGAGAACCTTGCAAAAGAATATGATTGAACAGGAACACACCATATAAAAAAAAACTTTTCCCCCAGATTCCACTTGTACATAAGAAAACAGCAAACAAATCTCAGTTCTCCTAATGCAGGTCTTTCAGCAGGCAAAATGGCACCCATTTACACATAAAGAGGGAGGTCTGCAGAACAACAGCAACAGACAGAACTTTGGGAAAACCTGAAGTGTGTGTAGAAGACTCCTCCCACCCCTAGAACCCGCTGGTCCACTTACTTCTCAACACACGTGGCTGGCATCATTGTCAGTGCACCAATCACAGCAGTAGCCTGGATGCCACAGCCCCACCTCCCTGCTTGCCCGGCCACTCCATGGCTGAGTGGGGAGACTTGTCATCTTGCTTCCTTGCCGGAGTGGCCAGGTGAGCAGGGAGGTGGGGCCGTGGCAGCCAGGCTACTGCTGTGATTGGTGCACTGACAATGATGCCAGCCATGTGTGTTGTGCAGTGAGTGGACCAGTGGGTTCTGTGGGTGGGAGGTAACCAGGCCAGTGTCCTCTGCCAGTGGGATTCGTCTTTGTAGACAGAGATGAATCCCCCATCTCTAGTGGAGATGGTCATGAAGACAGAGATGAATCCCCCATCTCTAGTGGTTCGGCAGTTCATGCTGGTTTGGCAATCAGCCCTACAGGTGTTCTGTTATTCTGAGCCCTGCTCCCTTTGGCAGGCACCCACTCAGAGACAGCATCCCAGCCTACTCCAGGTACTGCCTATGAGTGGGTGCCTGCTGTGAGGCTCAGAACCATGGACCACCTGTTGGGCCAACTTTCAGACTGGCAAGACCCACCAAATCGGTGGTTCGTGCCCATCTCTAATTTAATAGCCACTTGTTTATACTTATTGTGGACAAATAAACCAAGTAAACCCTTTGTCCTATATACAGCCTGGGGATATATATTTTTAAACTGCAATTCCAAGAATTCTCAACAAGTGTAATTTACAAAAAACATGTTGAGTTCAGTATAAATTCTTTGTAATTTAAAGTGCTGAAGAAGCAGCTGAGTGTTTTTTAAACTAATTTCCTTAAACTACTTGGCCAATTTCATTCATTTTTGGTTGAATCACTCTTCCTCTTCAGCTGCTAGTTTCTTTCCCAACTTACCTATTGGAGGCAAGGCAGTGGAGGATGGCAGGTGCATCCAAAGGGCCAGGAGCCCCACCAGGAATAAGGTGTTCATGATTTTCATGGCACGTGCATAATCCAGTTCTCTGACTCTCAATGAATTTAAATCTGTTGAAGTAAGAGGTTGGGTCACAAGAGGGAGGAACCCTCTTTGAACTTTGTCACAGAGGATTTATCAACTGAAAATCATTTTCTGCCATCGTTGATGACCATTGACCATGTACACTTGCATACACCATCTCCTGACTCCTGACCTAGGAGGTCTGCTAAAAATATGTCAGTTGCCTTATTCATGCAGAATGTAAGTTATGGGTATGGGACCATTGTTTCACAAAAAGGGAAATTCCACATACTGTGCAAACCAGAAATTGGCTGTTTTAAGGGGAACACACTTCCTGTCAGATCTTTCCCCACTCTTTCAGAGTGACTCAGCCTGTCATGGCCATACTGTGTAGGGTCAAATTTAAGATAGATTGCTACAATGAGCTAAGCTACTGGTGGAACATTAGTCAAGTTTTTGAAGGATATACAATATCAGTCAAATTATTTAGTCACATGAGACAGGAATGCCCACATGTACCTCTCCCTCTCTCTGGAAATAAAAATGCAGTTATCAGCAACAGCAGCTAGTAATTATAAGAACAAAAAAATGACTGTCTCATGTCAACAATAAATATTGCTGCCCTTGGTGACTTCCTCGCTCTGCCTCTTAACAGAACTAAATTTGTGTAGTTCTGTAAATTTGTGACATTTCTAATCTCACACTAAAGATCACAATCTGAGCATAATCATGTGCATGCACAATAATTAGGTTGCTGAGGGGGTCTTCATCAGACCTTAGGGAAATATGCCCACTTGGAGATTCTGGAGCTGGTCTAAAAAAGTCTTCACCTGGTCTTCACCTGGCTTATGCTATGTTCATTTAACATAAAAATTGGTTGTTTATCCTGGCTCGGCTTTTGTTGCACAGCATGTTAACAAACAGGAGATAGGTTTTCTGCAGCCAAGAAATCAGAAGATAACAGATCTGAAAGAGTAGCTATGAAGAAACTGAACAAGATCCTTTTGTGTCCAAATGTATTATTAGAGACCAAAGCCAGGATAATCATATATCTACGGTAGTAGATATGTAATTATACAGTGGTGCCTCGACTTACGACTGTCCCTAGTTACGACCATTTCAAGTTACAATCAACTCCATCCACAAAATTTTGCTTCTACTTGTGACCGGAGCTTCCACTTATGAACAGAAAAAGGCAGGGGAAGAAGGCGGTCAATACAAATTTCTAAATGTAGGTGGTGATGAGGTTGCTTCTTTGTACAGTAATTCTTTCGCCCCAGCAGTTAGAGAGTGTGTGATCTGAGCATGTGTGTGTTTGCAGTGATGCTTGGAACTGTCTGTTAAGGTAAGATGCTGTTTTCTGCTTTTTAAAAACTGTTCTGGGTGTTTTTGCAGCATGGTTTTGGGCTGGGGAGGGTTATGTTTCTGTGTTGTGTTGTTTCATTTTTTGGTGATTTTTTTGGCAGCCCAGCACTGTGGCATGCTTTGCTGTTTATTTTTTTTTTTTAAGCCTCAGCCACAGAGCTTGCTTCGCTGTTTATTTTTGGTTTGGTTTTTTTTTTAAGCCTCAGCCACGGAGCTTGCTTCGCTGTTTATTTTTGGTTTTCTTTCTTTTTTTAAAATCCCCAGCGCCTTCTGACCCAGCTTGCTGTGTGCTTAATTTTTGGTTGGGTGTGTAGGTGGGTTTATTATTTTTATTTTGCCGGAACAGATTAATTGCGTTCCAATGCATTTCAAGTGCTTCGACTTATGACCGTTTCGAGTTTTGTCCATCTTCTGGAACGGATTATGGTCGTAGGTCGAGGCACCACTGTACGCACAGAGGTGAAAGATGATCAAAATAATAAAACATGATGAAGCAAAATAAAATAAAATTGTTTGAAAAGTGGTGTTGAAGGAGAGCTTTATGGATACAATTGACTGCCAGAAAGACAAGTAGGTGAGTTCTTGGTGAAAGAAAGCCTAAACTCTCTCTAGAAGCAAAAATGACTAAATTAAGACTTTTGTACTTTGAATATACCATAAGAAGATGTAACTACTAGAAAAGACAATACATTCAGAAAAGTGGCATTTTTGGTGACTATCCCAAGCCTATGGAATTCCCTGCCTCACGAATGTAGGTTGGCCTCCTCCTTACAGTCCTTCCACCAGCAGGTAAAAATGTTCCTTTTTAAGCTGGCTTTCGAACCTCTAAATATCCTGCAGGATTGTATCTTTTAGTAGAGGGATGCAGTATATAGTATTTTTATTAGCATATTTTAATCAGGTATTTTAAATATATATATTTAACTTGTTTAATTAATGATGTTTTTAACAATCTGCTGGTTGAATAGTATTTTAATGTTAATGTTTTAATTTATTTGATGTTTAAAGTATCTTTTAATTGTATGTCATCTTAAGGCCCTTTGTTGGGAGGAAGATGGGCTATGAATTAAGTAAATAAATAAATAGGTAAATAAATAAACATATGTAAAAATAAGGCAACAGAAAAAGAAAAAGACAGGACATGAAATGGATTGAGCCCTTGATTTGTAGGAGCAGAGCAGGGCTCCTAACAACAGAATCATCTGGAAGTTGGCAATTTATTAGGTTGCTGTAAGTCAGAAGCAACATCATGGCACATAACAGTAATTACCAGCAACAATCGCACACATTCTGTGAAATAGGTTGGAGGAGAATGAAAAGAAAGGAAATGCTCTGGCATTTTATGTTGGGCAAGGAGCCATCAGAAATAGCCAGATTCAGTGATGCAGTAAACATACAGTAATTGTCTTGAGTTATGTTATCTTACATAGAAGATCAAGGTTGGGCTCTCCAATGGTAGGGTATGAAATGACAGGCTGCACACTACTGGGTGCATCATGTGTTCATGCACAATACAATCAAATGTCAATTACACCCCATCATTAATTAATTTTTAGAGGCTTGGTGGGTGGCACTGAAGCACTGGGAATCACAGTATTCATTTTAATTTTGTACACAAGGTATCATCAAAGACCAAAAAAGAGGAGTTTTTAAAATTTCCAGTGGAAGGTGCCAAAGATCAAGATTATCCCTTCTCAAGAGTAACAATTGCAGGGAACAACCTGCCCAAGCCATCCTCTTGAGCCTGTACTGAAGAAGCTCCCACCAAGCAACCACTTCAGCCTGGAAGCAACAACAGCTAGTACGATATAAAGAGCAAAATCTCCCAGAAAACAAGTTCGCGTGCTTCTAGCAGCTCTTGTGTATATGCACCAAATTCCAGGCTGCTATTTCATCTATATGGAGTTGAACAGAAACATATTGCTCTGTTAGTCTGCGCATATAGGAAAACTAATCAAGTAAACAAGTATGTTTACTTGATTGATATTATGGACGTCTGTGATTCTCCCTGAAACTGGATTATTTTTTTCTTCTTGCTTTAAATTCTAGAATCTTGGTCATCCTGGATGAGGGATTTTGGAATATATAATTTTAAAATATAGCCTTTCTTAGGTATCCTTATGTGGGACAGCTTAGGCAAGTGAGATCAGAACAAGATGTCCTTCTTTACTTGCAATATTGATCTGCAATCAGAACCTGTAGGTAATTTCCCTAGGTACATTTCAGGCCTTGTTTATGGACAAAAATTGTCCAAGAACATTATATATTTTATAGACAATATCTCTTTCATCACGATTTTGTGACACTAAAGATTTAATGGTTCAGGGTTGACACCATGCCTATTCCAACACCAATGTTATCATCCATAGAACGTAAAACCTACAGAATTGGAGTTTCCTGAGAAGGTTTTTTAACAGCATTCCTGCTTTTGGCTGCATACCTACACACAAAGGAGACTATTGTGTACTCTTAAATGTGAACCATTCTTGACTCCGATTCTTCTATCCAGCCAAGAACACCTCTGTAATCCCATTGTAGGCTGCCTTTATATACTCTAAGTATATCTAAATGTAGGTGGCGACTCTAAGATTATCTGGAAAGCATGACCTTCTGAGCTGTGGCTTGGGGTGACATGGGATAAGGTCTTCTCTGTATTTGCACCAAGACCTTTGTACCACAGGAGACTTCTTTGACCCCCAGTTTCCCACTATTCCCACTATGACTGAAGTTCTTCATAGAATCATGATGTTGGAAGGGGCCTATAAGGCCATTGAGTCCAACCCCCTGCTCAATGCAGGAATACAAATCAAAGGATTTCTGCCAAGTGGTTTTCTAAATTTCTCTTGAATGCCTCCAGTGTTGGAGCACTAACGACCTGTTCTCTTGAATGCCTCCAGTGTTGGAGTTGTAACCACCTGTCAAAGCAATTGGTTCCATTCTCATACTGCTCTAACAGTTAGGACGTTTTTCCTGATATTTAACCGAAATCTGGCTTCCTGTAATTTGAGCCCATTGTTGTATGTCCTGCACTCTGGGATGACTGAAAACATATCCTGCCCCTTCTCTGAATGACAGCCTTTCAAGTGTTTGAAAAGTGCTATCATTTCTCCCCTCAGTCTTATATTTTTTCAAGACTATACAGTACATGGCCAGTTCTTTCAATCTTTCTCATACGGCTTGGTGTCCAGTCCCCTGATCATCCTTGTCCTCCTTGGAATATGTTCCAGTATGTCAGCATCCTAAGTGTAGTGTCCATAACTGAACCCAGAAATCAAGATGAGACCTAACCAGTGCTGAATGGAGGGGGAACTAGTACCTTGTGGGATTTGGAGATTATACTTCTGTTAATGCAGCTTAAAATAGCATTTGCATTTTTAGTAGCCACATCACATTGCTTGTGTGATCCATGACTATTCCAAGATCCTTCTTGCTGGTAGTATTGGTGAGTCAAGTATCCTCCATCTTGTAGCTGTGTATTTAGTTTCTTTTTCCTTGGTGTAGTACTTTGCATTAATTCTCGTTGAATTTCACTCTGTTGCTTTCAGGTCAGTGCTTAAGCCTATCAAGATCATTTTGAATTTTCTTTCTGTCTTCTAGGATTTTAGTTATTCTACTCAATTTTGTGTCATCTGCAAATCTGATTAGCATTCCCTGCACCCCCTGAACCAGGTCATTAATAAAAATGTTGAAGAGCACTGGACTCCCCCCCCCCCTTTTAAAAAAAGCTTTGACCATCACTTTGTTTCTCTTGTTCACTGACTCCTCATTGTTTGTTTTATCTGGTACTTTTGTTAATGTTTTCTAAAGCCCTAAATGACTTGGTCCAAGCTACTTGAAAGATGTATTCTCGAAGGCTTTCATGGCTGGGATCTGATGGTTCTGTCAACAGAGCATGGACAGAGTTTCTACTCCAGTCCTCTGAAGATGCCAGCCACAGGGACTGGCAAAACGTCAGGAAGAACAACCTTCAGAACATGGCCAAAGAACCCGAAAAACCCACAACTACTTGAAGGTTTGTTTCCCTTTATGAATCTGCTCCACTTCTAAAATATACCATATTTTCCGTGTAGAAGACACCACCATGTATAAGACGCCCCCCACTTTTTTAACCCAAAGTTAAGAACTCTAAGTGGGGCTTAGAAAATGTAGGGTATGTTGTATGTGTATATACTTACAATGACAATAAATTATTATTATTAAAAGGGTTAAAGTGCTGCAGGATGGCTTTGATCCCTGCTTTCTCCCTTTGTGCTAAGCCCCGTGTGGCTTAGCAAAAGGAGGAGGAAAGGGATCAAAGCAATTCCACAACTGCACAATCATTTTGATCCCTTTCCCCTTATACAGCCACAGGATTGCTTTTATCCTTTCCCCTGCTTTTGCTAAGCCCCATGGGACTTAGCAAGCAGAGGGGAAAGCAGGGATCAAAGCCCTGCAGGATCACTTTGATCCCTGCTTTCCCCTCCACTTGTTTTTCTCTCCTCAGCTTACTTCCATGTATAAGATGACCCTCAATTTTTAGTCTAAAGATTTTAGACAAAAGTATAGTCTTATACATGGAAAAATACAATATATATTGTTATTAAACCACTTTGGGTCCTCTTAAGGGGAAAGGTAGGGTGTAAATACTTTAAATAAATAAAAGCCTTACACACACGCCGGCATAATTCTGGCCACTGGTAAATATCATTATGTCATATACACTTATTATAAATTATAGTCACATAGCAGCCAGTGTTGTGTTGGAGTGTTGTTTCTGAGAGTTAAGAGATTCACATTCTAAGCACCACTAACAAACCAACAACATAAAGATCAAGTAGCAAGCAGGAGATCCATGTACACTGATGTGAGCACATTAGAGGAAGGTTGCGAAAATATCTAAGGAAGACGTAAACATATATTTGCTCATTATCATTAAGATTGGTGTGTCTTTGTTAGATTTTGCTTGATGCCATGCAAGTCCACTAAACTGGAGCATAAATGTAAGATTTTGCACAAATGTAAAACTTGTGTTATTTTTATTGTCCCCCAACCACCCATAGGCACTACACAGATTTTTTTTCAAGCAGGTTTATGAGCATTGAGGTTGTATGTGAGGTTGTAGCCATATTCCATGCCATGCCATCCCTGCATTTGAGGATATCCTTCTGCATACTGGTTCAGTTTGAAATTAACCTGGAAAATAAATTAGAAAGATTGGAGAAAGTTCAAATTAATATAGAAAAATTGTGCCAGTGAAATCCCACCCCTAGAATAGACAATGTAAAGATGACACCTCTGTCATGGGTGACTACTCTGATTCATATATGTTCTCTTAGGGCACTGGAGAGGCCCCTGGACCCTTCATATGTTTTAGACTTCAGCTCCTGGAAACCCCACTCAGCATGGAACTGTACAAGATTATGGTAGCTATGGTTTGGGAGCAGCTCTGTAGCAGACAAAGAAGCTCTACAGAGAACCATTAAAACTGCCCAGAATATCATTGGGCTCCAGCTATCAACCCTGGATGACATCTTCACATCCCGCTGTCTGAGGAAGTCACAGAACATCCTTAGAGACTTTTCCCATCCTGCTCACAACTTCCTTGAATTGTTGCTGTCTGGCAGAAGATACAGAACAATTAAGACTTTTTCTGAATAGTTTTTATCCCAGAGCTATAATTGCACTTAATAATGAACTTAAAGACCACCAGCAGTGAACAGCTGAACAGTGTTATTTAGTTTGTGGTGTCGATGTATGTGTTCTTAGTGGGGGATTTTTAGTGGGTGAGGAATGTTTGGGGATTTTTTATGTATGTGCATGTGGGTCTGGTGTCTGTGTGAATTTTGTTGTATGTGCATACTATGCATATACTTACAATGACAATAAATTTATTTGATAGCTGTAATCCCAACATCTGGAAGGCCAAAGAGTTATCCCTGCTGCCTTAAGGAATGCCCACTTCCATTACTATGCAATATCATAACTCAGGTAGTAACCAATTCCAATAAAATTTGAAGTTCTTCATATTCAAGCAGTGCCCATTGCAAAAATTTAGTTTTCTGGTAATTAGAGATGGTTCTTTCCCACCATAGACAGTTCAGAGCCATTTTGTGCTGTTCAGTGAGAAAGGAAATACCGTTGTCACTGCACAGCTCATAAAAGCTGTGCAAGTCAATGGCTGGGAACCCCTTTCTCATTGAGAAGGTGCACTGAGAAGATCGTTACTTCTGATGTCCGTTAGGAGAAGATGACATTGGAGAGGCTGATAGGTCAGATGGAGGAGCTCTATATGCCCTAGTCTTTTCTGCTCTGTTAAATTTCCACAGGGTTAGTTAACTGTGTTCCTTTGAACCTGGCCTTTTTTCTAGACTTACTGTTCCATTTAGGGTTTTTCCAGAATTAAACATATTCTCAGATACCTTTCACTGGATACACACAGCGTTTTGCACAAGTATTTTGGCAGCAAATCTTGTTATCTTTACAATCACGGTTTTTCTCGCATTCATTTGGTTCTGCTCGAATGCATACATAAGGGTCTGGTGGGCAGTTGGAAGGATATTCTGCAGTGGGAAGATACCATTGTATAATATGGATCACTCCAAAACCTGTGTAATTAGTATGTCACATCCCCCTCAACATCCCTATCAAGAACACCCATGTATCCATGAACCATATTGTGACACTGCTGGACATAAAGCCAAGCTCTATACCAAACTGTGGTTCTAGTTATTCAGACTGTGACTTGGTAAAACTGGCTTGTGTTTCCCTACATATATGGCAGCCTTGTGGCTGTATTGCCTTTCCTATATTACCTATTACCTAAGGCTCATGCCATGTATTACATGGTAGAAACAGGAACCAGAAACCTTTCTGGTTGCCTTTTTCAGGCAGGCACATAACTTAACTTCTCTCTCTCTCTCTCTCTCTCTCTCTCTCTCTCTCTCTTTCTCTCTCTCTCTCTCTCTCTCTCTCTCTCTCTCTCTCTCTCTGTGTGTGTGTGTGTGTTTAGCAAGTAAATACTACTGAATGGTTTGGGGAGATCGTGAATAGTTAGATTAAAAACCCATTAACTCAGTCTGCATATTTTAAAAATTTTATGCTAGGCATAATTAGGAAGGAATTCAAAAATAGAAGGTTCAAAAATCTAATATCTTTGTTCAAAGCTATAGCACAATGACACTGGTTTTTGTCAGACCCAGATGCAAGATATGTCAGTTAAAGCAAAGCAAAGGTAACAGGGGATTGTCTTATTTTTTTGCACTTACCTGTTTCTTGTGCAGCTCCATATGGCAACTCCATCCAAAGCATTAGAAGACTGAAAAAGACCAAGGTACTCAGCGTCTTCATGGTGCTGGCAGGAGCTCAGAAGACAGCAGGAGAAATGAGGAAGAGATGCTTGTTGCTTTCCCAACTGTCTAACCTTTCTGGTTTTCTTTCACACACTAGGTCTCATGCGTGCTTATTTTCATATCTTGGGCAAGAAGAGGTTACGTCAGCATGAATTTTGTTTTGAATTGACCCAGGGAATTTCCAGAGTCACAGATCATGACATATCCTCATTCTGGTTCCTTCTAGGTATGAGGGTGGGATTAATTAAGCCCATATTTTAATAGCAACTAATCTAATTTGTACTTCCCAAAGCTAATGATGTTATAATGTATTGTCAAGTAATTTTGGACGAATGGGATCCCAATGAATTAATAATATCCAAAAGGTTCTGTCTTTAACACTTCTTTTCAGGTTGCCCTTTCCTTTATTGAGTCAAGTCATTGAAAGAAAGAAAAAACTGAGTTGAGTCACCAGTGCGATTTAAGTCTGACTTGACAGTGAGTCCCGTGACCCGAGTCCCCATCACTGACCAAAAGTGGCAGAGAAAGAACAAAGCAAGAGTGGAGTTGAAGTATAACACGTGTCCATTTCCTCCAATCCAGGCACACAGCCCTCTAAAAACCATTCTCCCTAAGTAGGAGATGCCTTGCAAGCTGCAAAATCTCTGGAACACATGAAAATCCCATCTGTAGAGAAGGTAGAGAAAAGTGGAAAAGCTGGAATAAAACTAGTGCCTAAAGTCAAAGGACATAACCAAGAGAGACGATCTGGAGAATATTCGTATACTACACACTTTCACAGAATGAAGTGTGATTATAAAAGGAAAGTACTAGCGCAAAATGCACCCCAATCTGACTTCAGAAGATGAAGTGGCTCCAAAGTAGAGATTCCTATTCATCTACAAATAAGAAGCCCACCAGCACAGGTGGCCAGTCTGATTACCTCCTGCCCCAGAACCCACCGCTCCGCTTACAGCGCGACACGTACCACACATTGCCGGTGTCATTGTCAGCGCACCAATTGCAGCAGTAATCCGGCTGCCACAGCCCCATCTCCTTGCTCATCCTGCCACTCTGACAAGGGGAAGGGAGGATGAGTCTCCCTGCTTAGCTGCAGAGTGGCAGGACAAGCAGGGAGATGGGGCTGCAGGAGCTGGGCTACTGCCATGATTAGTGCACTGATGATGAGGCCAGCCACATGTGCCATGTGTCATGCTGTAAGTGGACCGGTGGGTTCTGGGAGTGGGATGTAATCAGACCAGCCACCAGTGTCAGTGGGCTTCATATTCGTCTACGAATACAAAGCCCCCACCTCTAAAGCAAAGCAAAGCAAAGCAGTAGCTCCACATATTTTCACAGATCTTCTAAATGCTGGTTTACACACTTATTACCCGAACTTTAGGCCAAGATAATATGGGTTCCACATTTATGAAATGACAAGGGCAAAGTCATTTAAAAATGTCTAGTGGGAAGGATTAAAAAACAAAAGCACAGGTGTCTTCCTGGAAAGAATGGGGCTTAATATGTGCTTACAGGTGAAGGTTGCTAATCATTACAGCTATGCAACTGATGGGGGTTGCAGACCTCACAAAATTGGTTTGGGCAACTAGTGATGATGGCTTCTCTTTTGGCCAAGCTAGAGATTAAGGTATCTTGGTTTCACATGCTTCCAGCTGTCACAATTGATGCCCACCTTGGTTCATTGTAGCCATCATAAGCTTCTGATGAGGAGGTTGGAAGAACCAGCCATTGATCCTCCAGAACAGGTGACACTGACGTTCACCCCAGCGACAACACTGGAAAACCCAGAGGCAGTTAAAAAAGCTCGAGAGGTGGGAAAGAGCCTACATGCCCAGGAAGACCAATCCAAGGACTACTGAGGTGCCCATACCCAGCTGGCATTGACCCATAGACTGTTTCTGGCTATTAGAACTAGGAGTAAAGGTATTGGATCGGAAATGCAGGACCAGGGATGGTGCTTAGACAAAGAGGAATGCAACAGACTAAAAGGGGATGCCTGTATATAGTTGTAAAATAAAGTTCAGCATCCAAGCAACCTACTACAGTCTGAGGAGTTCTTATGACTGGGCCCATGGAGCACTTCCATATCCCTCTGTCCATAGGGGTGGGGGGAAAGGGATGCTCATAGTGAAACAAGACAGATGTATTGTTCCCTACCCAAACAGTGCTTTAAGGACTTACCTTTAGGAAAGATGTATAACAAATGTAGCTGTCATCTTTGACCAGGGAACTAGGAAGCCTTGAGGAGTCAGCCTTAGGACTGTTGTTAAGAGCTAGATTCAGCTGCCTCGGACAGAACGTGACTGGTTTTTCTACTAGGGGAACTACATTATGTGAGAGTAGTATCTTCTTGCATCTGCATACCTACTGTAATTGGACACTGGTACTGTACATGTTTTCATGTTACTTGTTTTTGTGTTTGTTTTTACTTGCATGTAGGCAAGAACAGTTATTTAATACTAAATTACATGAGATGCATTTCCTTTTTGTGGATAGAAAGAAGAGTCCGTTCATTTTAATACAACAAAATCTATAGGGGCCACATTGGAACCTCTAAAGTTCATAACAGTGTGACTTTCACAGATGTGCTAGTTGTAATGAATTTGAAAAAGACTAAATTACACAAGGCATACTCGCCTTGGACAGAAAAACAGAAACAAAGGAGTATCTTCTGAAAGGGTCAGCCTAAAATTCCTCAACTTGATAACAGTGCTGTCTTCACTGACCGACTATGCTAATCATAGTGTATTTGAAAGAGTCAGAATCCTCTTCTGCCAGCAGGGTCCCTGCCTATCAGCTGATCTCAGTAGGGATCCACAAACAATGGATGGCCGCCTTCTGTTGGGAGAAGAGCCCAAAAGAGGCAGAGAAGGAGCAAGGCAAGGGGTGGAACTGTGTTATGACACACGTCCTCCTCTTCCAATCCAGGCACACAGCCACCATGTCGAGACAATGTTAGACTAAATTGAGGACAGTCCAAAGTCATTTTCAGCATTTCTAAGCTTTGAGAGAATAGGATTCCTCACAGCTTCAATTGGCCTAGTGACAGTGCACTGGGCTCTCAATCACCTTTACTGGTTAAAGATTCCCCTTGACATTTAGTCCAGTCGTGTCTGACACTAGCGTCCCTGTTTCCAAGCCATAAAGCCAGTGTTTATCCGAAGACAGTTTCCGTGGCCACGTGGCCACTAGACATGGAATGCTGTTACCTTCCCAACGAAGTGGTACCTATGTATCTAGTCACATTTTTCCATGCTTTCAAACTGTTAGGTTGGCAGGAGCTGGGACAAGTGATGGGAGCTAACTCCATCACATGGATTCGATCTTACGACTGCAGGTCTTCTGACCTTGCAGCACAGAGGCGTGACCACGGAAACTGTCTTCGGACAAATGCTGGCTTCGGACAAAGAAGCCATGAAGGAGGTTGTCTGTGACCCTTCTCATTGAGACTCAAGCCTGCTCATGCATTAAGCCCACTGAGATTTGCCAGACTATAACAGAACATAGGAAACAAAACAATCACTAGATAAATAAATGAAAAAATAAATAGATAAGAAGTATCTTGTTGGTTGTTGTATGTTTTTTAGTCTGTTTGGCCGTGTTCTGGAGGTTTTTCTTCCTAATGTTTCACCAGTCTCTGTGGCTGGTATCTTCAGAGGACAGGAGTTAGAACCCTTTCTGTTCTGGTGTAGTGTGTCACTCAACTATCCCACATACTACACTGGAACAGATTGTGTTCTAACTCCTGTCCTCTGAAGATGCCGGCCACAGAGATTGGTGAAATGTTAGAAAGAAAAACCTCAAACAGCCTGAAAAAAATCTACAACAACCATCGGATCCCATCCAGGAAAGCCTTTGAGAATACACTGAAAGTCTCTTGTAGCTGAAATGTTCTTGGTAGTTTTCATAGGCAAAAGTTGTCCTTCATTTACAGAAAAATGTCCTCTTGTTTATCATATGCAGTAGCCAGTCTAATGTGGGTTTATATTGTTATGAGGGAAAGGAGAACTAGCAGGCATGGAACAAACAATGTCTGTCTCCAAGGCTTATAAAACTGGTATTTGGTGGAACATCAGAATGCAATTCCTGAATACTTTAACAAGCTTTAGAATAGGTCCATGTTCCAAAGCAGAAGTTTGCGAACACTATCAAATTTTGTGAGGAAGCAAAACACAAACACCTGATTCATAATATTATTTATTGGTAAATATTTGTAGATATACAAATGTATCTGATTAGTCAGTAAAAAACAGAATAAAGAACCAGGATGTCCCATGCAAGAAAACTCTAAATAAAAAGGTATCTCGCCTTTGCTTAAGAAGCACTAGAATGGAAGCTAATACTGAAATCCAATAATGCAGAGTATTGCCAAGAAAGTGAGGATAAGATAGCATCTTAACCTGAGTATCATCTTTAACCTTCAGTTGGCTTGATAGGAAATCTATATTTAGCTATAAGGTTAAGGTTTAAATCATTCCCCTTACCCAAATCAAGATCATCAATTAGAGGCAGCAACTTCAGAATAAAACACTTAATCAGCTGACCAAGCTAGCTATATTACTTTCAGATACTGTATCTCAAATAAATGAATGATTCAGATGCGTACTCTTCCTGCAGGTGAAGTGAGCAGCTGATGTTTGGCTTCCAATCATGAAAACATGCATAGATGAACCAGGTGCCATTGGTCATGCCAGGTATCCATCCAGGCAGCAGGAATTTAAACTAAAAGAAACATTTTTAAAAAAATTGCTGGATTAAATGCTACCAACAACTAATAACAGTTACTGTAAGTATAGTTATTCATGTCCTGCATGGCTTAGTGTGTATCCTAAGGCCCTGTCTGAAGGCTGTGAATGGAGGAGCAATCAACCTTGCCTGGTCTAAAACATTCAAAACCTTCTTATGACATAGTATAATTCTGATGAAAGTTTTGAATTCTAATGAATATTGAGCATGAACTCAAGAACTCAGGAGATCAATGGTTAAGTATGAAAGGATACACAATAATGCACAACTTCAGTGTAATATGCATGAACAATCTATTATAGCCATATGTCTCTATGTTTTTCTGTCTGTCAGAGCCATGACCACAAGACCATCTATTCTATTCAGCTGAAACTTTG